ATACTAGACGTGGCAAAGCAAGGAAGTAGTATCTTCCAGGGTAATAGGCACTGAGTTGAATGTCAAATAAACAGTACTTAACGTAAAATCAAAGTCTCATTCGTGAGAGGGCCGCTGAGTTCTGGTCATCTCATGCTCCTCCTCTATTGGCTGTCTATCTTCTTCCTCTAGATTGTCCAAATCTCTGATTGGCTTTGTCAAACTTAACACCGACAGGTCATTAATCAGTACCTCTGGAAAGGCGGCTTCTGGTGGTCTGTTCAGGTACCATGTTGGCTGCTGGTTGGCTGATTACTCCAGGAACATTGGTCCTACATACTGTCTTGTGGCGGAGATATGGGCTATTCGGGATGACCTCTCTTTGGCCATTGATAGCGGCTTCCAACAGCTTTGCATTGAGAGTGATTCCTTATTTGCTTTTAATTTACTTGGCATGGATTACTGCAGATCTCATCCCCTAAGTGCTCTTATTTTGGATTGTAGTGAGTTGCTCGACAGAATTCACCAGGATCAAGTTCATTACACCCTCAGGGTGACCAATATGCGTGCGGACTTTCTTGCTAAGCTAGGCCAGAACTTAAAGTGGAAATTTTTTGTTTTTGATGACTGTCCTTATGGCCTTAATGCCCTCATTTTGGATGATATGGTTGAGTTTGAATACCCCAGATTTGTAACATAACCATTATTAATGCTATCTCATATTTCTACCAAAAAAAAAAGGGGTGGGGGGGGGTGCAAAAATCATAATCTAAAGGCAAAGATGCAAAGAAAATGAAAATGGAGAAAGCAAGTCAAACAAAGAAGAAAAAAAAATTACAAAAGCTAAATATTGAGAACCATCATTCACATCCAGGCAAAAACCATTAACATGAAACCCGATGGTTATCTGCCTCTGTTATGATTTTCCGGCGACACATTATTTCCCATATGTACATTTCCCGAATCATAAAATAGCAAATACAAGTTACGCTAACTGTAAAATCCAGAAGCCAATTCCACTTTTAATTCCCCGATTCCGGCCCTTCTGGCTTTTCCGGCTTGTAAACAAGATCATTAAGCTTCGGCCTCAGTTTAGCTTCCCATATTTCTCGGCTAGAACTAGCGTCCATCTCCCGCCTCTTAATCTCAACCACCACCAGCTCCTCCGTCAACTGGTTAATCTCCACCGCCGCAGCAAAATTACCATTCTGTCCCACAAGCCTCAGCCCCCACTCCTTGTTCTTCTTCACCTTCAGCCCTTCCGACCAAGCTACCTGCGCGATTTTCTGTATTATCTTCTCCGGTTTCTCGGCCGATACGAACCGTTCACTATGAACGGGTTCAACCGCCTCATTGAACAAGCCGGAGAGATCTGTAGAGTATGAAATTATGTCGAAGGCATTTAAACACTTATTTTCGTCGGGTTCGGGTTTTGGGTCAAAATCCTCCCAATGGAATTTTATCTCTTTGTAGCCTTTTCTGAACCAGGGATCACGAAGGATCTCGTCGACGGTGATCCTCGAATCGGGATTTGGATCGAGAAGGCGGGACAAGAACCGGCGGAGATCGGGAGGTGTCCATTTCGGGAACCGGAATTCGCCATTGTAAATCTTCCGATACATCACCATCAGGTTCGGATCGTTAAAAGGAAGGTAACCGGCCTGAAGGACGTAGAGGACGACGCCGCAGGACCAGACATCGACCTTCGCACCGTCGTAGCCTTTCTTCGCTAGAATCTCCGGCGCCACGTACGCAGGAGTCCCACAGAGAGTATGGAGGAGACCGTCGGGTCGGATCTGGTCCTTGACGGCACTGAGTCCGAAATCCGAGACTTTCAGATCCCAATTCTCGTCGAGGAGGAGATTCTCTGGTTTCAAATCGCGATGAAACACGCCTCGGGAATGGCAATATCCGACGGCGGAAATCAACTGCTGGAAATACCGACGGCTGAGATCTTCGCTGAACCGACCCTTGGCGATCCTGGCGAACAACTCCCCTCCTCTGGCTAATTCCATCACGAAAAAAATCTTGGTCTTGGTGGCGAGCACCTCGAAGAGCTTGAGGACGTGCGGATGACGCAGCCGGCGCATGATGGCGATCTCCCTCTTCACGTTCCCCATGAGTCCCCCTTTCACGATCTTCTGCTTACACACGGCCTTAATCGCCACGCTCTGTCCTGTACGTACGTTCCTTCCGTGATACACCTTGGCAAACGCGCCGCGACCGAGCAACTTCCCGATCTCATACTTGCCGAACAGCGCAGCTTCCGGATGCAACTCCGGCTGCTCGCTGCCGGTTCCGTCTTCAACCTCGATCTCTGGCATTATTGAACCACGAGATCGAATTTTTCATATATCAACAAAATCTCACTTCTCCTCATTAACGGAATGAGATTTTATTTTCACCCAATAAAAATTTATGAATAATTTCCACGATCTTTCGGGTGTGATATAACAAAAAAATAGTGGTTAAAAAAATTTTTTTTAAAGGAATTTGTTGAACTGATTAAGGAGAAATGAGATGGGCACCCGAACCAGGTTTTGTAGACTGGTACAGGAATTCCAGATTTGGGGTTCATCGGGGAAGAAGGTATTTAAGGGAAATGAAGGTGGGGGTAATTTTGTCATTTTGTATATGATAAGTGAATTCCTCTTTCAAACTTTGTGACTTTGTCCATGGAGTGACGTTAGGACAACCCACGGCCATTCACATGGTGTTATTGTTGTACCTTTTTTTTTTTT